GGGAATTTTCTCAGCAAAGATCACATCTTTGATGTCATTCCGGGATGATACTGTTTGTTCAGTGTTATAACACAATACTGCACCTTTTTCGGGCCACAGCAGAATCAAATTCAATTTCAAAGAGATTAGGTTCCGTTAAAAATTAAGGGAAGTTGGGTATTGGGCAGTATTATTTTCATTTATACAAACAATCGCCGAGTTCTTTTTCCTATTACGTCATTAATGTTCTGTACGACTGACCGGCCACACCAACCCTGATATACCATACTTAGGCAGAGTGAGGGCGTCTAGGATAGAGCAAAGGAGCCAGCCGTAGTGCGGACCGGTGTAAAAGAAGAGTGAGGAAATGGAAACCCCCATAGGTGCAATGGAGGGATAGTCTTCCGCTCCGTGTAGCAGAGACACGAAGGGAAGGGTGGCTGATAAATAGCACGAGACACTATGAGCTTGCGTGCATGGCAGGATACACGGTTCCTTGACAGAACTGCTTCAGGAAGCCTGGTCAGAAAGTGTGGTCGCCAGCAGCAAGGCCTGAAAGTAAAACAAGCAAAAAGGTCACTAAAGTATAACACGTATGGGAATGGGGAGCAAAGTATAGATTATTTATTGACAGAACGAGTGACTGCCTATACGCATGAGTTGCAAATGTTTGGCAGGTCTAACGTAGAACTTGAGGCCATAACTGAAAAAAAGTCGGTAATAAAGGTGTCTTTTTTCCGCCACACGGGTTCTCGCAGCGAAAATTCATTACGTTTTTGGCCCTCATCCGTGATCCGGATAAGCTTTTATAGGAACTCTATTTTTCTACCCTCTTGTGGTTTTGGATGTGCACAAGAAACGTTCATGTGTTGTGCAGATTGCAGAATATGGTCAATTTGAGTCTATGTAGTTATCTCCAAGCTGGTTTCTATCCACGATTTTCACTTTCAGCGTGGCTGCCGACAGCCATTTCTCACAAAACTGCCTGAATAAAGGCCATTTCCTACGTCAAGTCATGAAAAGCTAGTGTAAATGCATGTCGAGTTCCCTGGGTATCATAAATTACGGAAACTGGCAGGCTCGAATGTGATTCGATTGCAAGAATGACTGAGTATAGATTTAGAACGCTAAACGCAGTCAGACTTTCGAAAAAGTAGGTTAGGAGGAGGTTAGAGCGTCTCGGTGCTTTCAAAATCCTCGTCGAATTAGCTTCTGGATACTAAAGCTCACGACCTTTTCAGCTTTTACGGTTAAATAAGATGCATCGAATTCATGTAAATAATTGTCATAAGTCATACTTCAGTTAGCAATCGATCATAGCCATGCAGCTTAGTACCGATGTCAAAACTCGTAAAATCATGGTAAAAACTGAAATAGTCATTAAAAAACCATTTGAGGTGGCCATCAGCCCCCTTACATCTACCCTTCATATTAAGTTGATATTTTTCCGACTGAATTGCGTTTCTCTGGTTCGTGCCGCGGTGTGTGGCGCGTGCGTGGGCTATGCGGGCTGCCGGCCTATCGATCCGAGCCCGTCTTGTTAGTGTACTGTTGCAGCGGACAGTCGTGGTGGGCCTTGTTCACGTGGGCTGGTCATTATCCAAGCCAGGCTGGACCGACACCACACCACTTTTTGTGCCTACTGTTGCATTCGATGCACGGCAGGATAGGTTTGAAGTGGGTCAACGAAAGACGGCATGGTCGGGGAGCGGTAGTGTCGTTCGAGACGGAAAAATGAATAAACTCATTGACCAGATGCAACAAGTTATAACTCATAACTAAGGAGAAACATTGCAAGACACACAAATCTACATATAATGCAAACATTGCATAGATACTCCAATTCCATATCAATGCACATGATGTGACTCAAAACAAAAGGACCATACGTACGCACGTCATACGCGACAAAAATGTTGAGTAATAATCCGAGTACCTATAAGCCGTTTCCACGACGGCCATCTGGTACACATTTAGTGCACATTTGGTACAGATTAGGTGAAGATTTGGTCAAATCAGGTTCAGTGTGTCTCTTAGCAGCTATATCAGCTAGGGTTGCACTAATTGCTTATATGCCTGCTTTGTCATATTATCAGAGAGCATCATTGATTAAAACACTGAAATAAATTCATAAAATGAAGATATTTGCTGTAAAAGAAATTAGGTGCAGATTTGGTCAAATCAGGTGCATTCGCCGGATAGCCTGTCGTGAAAACGGCTATTAGCCCGCGCCCTGCTGGGGGGGGGGGGGGTGTTTGAACACCCCCCTTGTGGTTTTTCGCTGAGTCCGCGCCGCGTTTTTTGTACACCTTATCATACATCAATTCTACACATGTTGTGAAAATTTCAGACCAAGGTCATGCAAGGTCAGGTCACCAGGTCACTTGAAGTGACCTCACCTAATAAAAAGTTTCAATGTCTGTCATAGCTACACCGAGTGACCGATCGCTTTGAAACTTTCAGCGATTTCTAAGAGCAATAGCATGTACAAAATGGATATCTCAGAATTTTGATATCGATGACCTAAGGTCAGGTCAGTTTTGCGACCTACCCATTATGTCAATTGGAGAAAATTGAAATGCGCCTCTTTTGGACGAAAGACATTATAAACACTCCCAAACACTGAATTACAAGTGGTTTAGACACACTGAACATGAAAATGGTGTCCGTGACCCCTGTTTATGCCCTGAGGTCATCTTAGGTCACGAATGGTATCTAACAGTTTTTCGCAAATAACTTTTGATAGAGGCATGCTAGAGCGATGAAAACGCCTTAGATGTGTTCAGCTCGACGATACGGATCGACTGATATGCAACATGACCCTTTCCGGTCAGGTCATGGCCTTGACCTGAGGTCAAATTTTCAAGTTGACCTTTCAAGGTCAAGTTATAGTTCATTCGAAGCGTCATGACGAGAGGAACACGATGCCGGTAAAAGTAAGCTCGTACAGGCTTGGGTCAAAAGTTATTGCAGAAAAACATTTTCCGAAAAAATCGGCTATTTTTGCAGTTTTTGCCCCCTGCAGGCAAAACCGTTGACGTTAGGTCAAATCTGAGAAAATTATTCAGAAAGGGCGTTAATAGGGCTATCGAATGCGCTTTTCCGCGGCGCTGTAGCTCTATTGGTTCCCGAGTTATGCGTTGGCTTCTTGGAAATTGTCGACATTCGACCTGGAAATCGGCGAAATTTTGCCTTCAATGACCTCTGGTGACCTGACCTTTGACCTGACCAAAAAATTGACCGAAGTGATTTCGTCATTATTTTTTACGCTCTTTCGAACTCCGCCTTCCGCGTATCGCTACGTGGCCCAGGAGCCGAGTTACAAGGGGGTGTTCAAACACCCCCCCCCCCCAGCAGGGCGTGGACATCCAGGACCCCCAGCCGGGCGCGGGTTAGTGTGGGGAAAAGCAAATTATGGCTAGCCAGCCTGTTTACATCTTCGAATCGATTCTAAAAAGGAAAATGTAATAAAAAGTACGCTACCTAATATCACATCCAGCCGGAAGTGTGCGAGCTGTGCACGGTCAGCTCGGCGGCGCAGTATCTGCCCCTACAGGCGCACGCCGCCGCGCCGACGAGGGATCATCACCCGATCGCCTCGGGCGCCGGCCACTGACCTCTTGACCTACTGGAACCGTGTCTGATTGGTGGAGTGTGGACACGCTGGGCCGGGGAATGATTCCATTGGCGAGCCTTGCATGTATTGTAGTGTGCGTGTGTGCTCGAAAGGACAGCAATGAGCGTGACCTGCGTCAGAAGCGCATTGTCTTTCAATGAGCCAGTCGCTACCAAAAGGAAGACAAGATATTACGCACAACTTAACAATTACGTCCCATCCCAGATCGGTCCGTTTTTATTTTGTTTTTGTCTGCTTTATCGATACTTCACACAGTCAGTTGACCATCGCACTGGTTTCGTGATGGCGGATATTTTCCCAGAGCTACATCAATATTTGAACAGGCCGAGACTTATGAGAACAGCTTCACTTTCCTCAACTATACCACGCTGTTTGTTTCGTTTAGTCAGTGCCGTTCAGGGAGCCATCAGAAGGCATTATCACAGACAAGCCCTGATCGTTTTACGAGGGCGCTCATTCTCAACAAAAGAATAAGTCTCAAAGCAATTAACTGTTGACAACTGATTATACCTATAGCTTTGTATTAGCGCATTGAAAACATTTGGTCTGTCTGTCTGTCCTTTCAATGGGTCCGTCCCTTTGAAGCAGCAGTTAGCACGATTCAAGCGACTAACAAGCGTTCAAGTAAAGACAACGGTCATTCGCTTTGAGACTCGAGCCTGCAGCTCGCTAAAGCCTAAATGTGACGAAACGGAATGCACCGAAGAAACACGGTAATGAGTAGTAAGTAGTGAAAAGCTTAGCGATTCAACGTCTAGCAAAGAAAACTGAAACGTTATAGAACATTCGAAGGAATATCGGTATGTCATCCCGTAATTTAATCAAGCATCAAGCATAAAATCTTTTTCTGGGTCTGGGTGTGCACTGTGCACGGGCATCACTTTTGGTGCCAAGGAGACACGAGTGGCGCCGCCCTGGTGACGAAGCTGGGAACTGTGATACTGATCAGGCGCTAGGGGTCGAAGGATGGGAATGATACGACGAAGATCAGTCAGGGTAGGCTTCCGTCACACATACAATTACATTACACATACAGTTGCGTTCATTATGCACGTAGTCTTCGGTAATATGTTTGAATTTCATGACGTGACTGAACAAATAACTTTCACTTTCTACTTCAAGCAAATGGTCCCTTGGAACACTAACTGGGACAGAGGTAACTAACTATTAGGCGTAACTCGTTGTAAGAACGAGTTGAGCCTTCTTTGTCTTCGTCCAATCGTCTGATCACCACGTTTGATAGAAGCTCCTTTCCCGGCGACTCAGCCGGAGTAGCAGGCGACTCCCTGCAAAGCCCAACCCATCCACCCACCAATCAGTATAGTGTTCATCCCATTGGACTCTTTCAGAGCCGTTCCTCAATCCCAACTCCGACACCCCTCAGCACAGTCACTCGGGTCGCGACACCGTCAGTATATTCTGAACGAACTCAGGGGCCGACGGGCGCGGCGGCGCCTCCCCCTGAGCGGAACGGACGGCGCCGCCGCGGCGTCTACAAGCTGCTACGTTACACACTAGTAAATCGGCTTAAACGGAGAATACAGGAGCATAGACTAGAGGCCTCTGTCGTGCCTCGAGCACCCAACAGGACGAAACCCATCGCATCGCCGGTCGACTCGCTCACACCGAGCGGAGAGCGTTAGCGCCCGCCGGCTATTATAAAATTCATACAAAAACACCTTAGAAACGATAACCTCAGAATGCCTACGTCTACACGACACACCGCGGCAGACATGCAAGAAAGAAAGACTCCGTGGCGGGGCGCGGGCGGCGCAGCTGCGTTGCCAGGCGGCGAAGGGCGACAATACGTCAGCAGCAGCAGCGGCAGCAGCAGCAGCAGCAGCAGCAGCAGCAGCAGCGGCAGCAGCAGCGGCGGCAGCGGCAGCGGTGGCGACGGTGGCGGCGCCCTCTGCTCGCCGGTAAGACTTCGAGGCCGGGCAGAGGGCGGCAGCAGCGTCGCCGGCCGCGCGCCGCACTCGCGCAGACTAGACGGAGGTTCCGTGAATATGATCCGGCTTATTTACAGGCTAGCAGCGCAGCCGGCGGGCTGTGCCGAGCGGCAGACACAGAAACAGAGAGCCTCCGGGCCGGCCGGGCGCGCCGCCCGCCCGGCGTATCGTAGCGCCCGTCCTCAGCGCGTCTCCGCGCTCCCACGCTCGCTGACTTTACACGAGTCTCTCCTCGCGTCTACGCTCTACAGTCCGTGCCCGTCGCATCTCGCGCATTGGTCGATCCCGCTCGTGACACGAGGTGTCCCCCGTCCGAGCTACCCTTTCCACGCTATCCTCGCGCCGAGAACCCGCCGAGAGGCGGTCGGTCTCGCGCCGAATGACGATATAATTCAGACGCCGGCCGTCGGCGCGGCGTCGCATGACTATTGCACAAAACAAATAATCTCCCTTCGCGATCACACAATTAAAGAACGCAAGAGCCGGGCGCACACCGTTCCACAGGCCCGGACAATGGACCGAAACAAACTGAGTCAGAACGACCGCGATGGGTAAGGGCCTGGCGCCACGCCGCCCAACTAAGTCATGACACGCACCCTCATGGGTTTACCGGGGCCCCGCGAGACCCACCGAGTTCCACCGGAGCCCAGCGAGACCCTCTGAGACCCCGCGGGACCCGGTGACAGGAGCGGGGGTCACCACATCCCGCGGACTCTCAGAGGACCTCGCCAGAGCCGGCTCCTACCATTCCGCCGGGCGCCTACTGTCTGGGCAGTGGTCGGATCAGGTAGAGCTTCTCGCCCTGTGGGTTGGTGTAGATCGGACAGCGCTGGTAGTGATCCACCAGCTGGTCGAGCGTGTGGAACTTGCGCTGCCCGATGCAGTACAGGGCGCCCTTCACCTCCACGCGGAAGTGTTTGTTGCGTCCCGGCGCTTTGAGCGAAACAGAGTAGTCGCCCACCTGTCGGAGCGAACAACAAAACACGTCAGGTCAAACAAAGAAGCTAGCAAATGGAATGCGAAAAAATGAAAAAGTTATCATCAAACGGGTCCAAATGACTACAAATGAACAAATAGTGCTCTTCTGCACGCGAAAATCGATGACTTGAAAAGCATCAGAAACCAAAGGAGAGTAGGGACATCGCGCACCGCTAAGGACACAGAAGGCTTATCCATTGCTGTCAAGTGACTATCTTCATTGTCGTTGGTTTACATTAGACTGTAGTGCGGCAAAAGTATTGATACCTTCCGTCTTTTTGTAATAACTCAATGCATTTCCAACATGCCCCCGAATATGACATTTCTGAGCGCGCCCTTGCGTACCCGCATCCTTCCCCGAGGCGGGGATTAGCTGAACAGCTGACCTCGACCCAGAGGGTCGCCGGCCGGGGTCATTATCCACCCGGTGGCCGCTGCAGTAGCCACGGCCGAACCATGAAGGTCAAACAATACAGTTTGGAGGCTCGCAGCCGCGCCATTGGCATGCTCCAAGCCGGCAAGACGCAGAGGGACGTTGCCTCACACTTTGGGGTCCCAGTCCTCACCATCAAACGCTGGTGGAAGAAGTTTAAGGAGGCAGGGAGCGTCGCAGATAGACCGCGGTCAGGGCGCCCTTCCAGCATCTCGACCGTCGCCAAGATCGTGATGAAGAAAGCGGCTGGAAAATCTGGCCACTCGGCGAGGAAGCTGTCCAAACAGCTCACTCGGAAGAAATATCCGGTGTCCGAGAGGACTGTCCGCCGGTACTGGAGGAACACCCTTGGACTGAAGGCCTACAAGATCCGCGTAAGGCCAAAATTAACGGAAAAACAGCGAGCACAGAGGTTTCAGTTTTGCAAGGAACGCAAGAACTGGACTGTGGAAGAGTGGAAACGGGTACTCTTCAGCGACGAGTCTCCCTTTCAACTCTTCCACCACCCAAACCGCCAGAACGAGCGAGTGTGGGCTGAGAACCCGGCTGAAGTCCCGAAGGCGTTCAGCGTCAAATTCCCGCCGAAACTGATGGTGTGGGGCATGATGTCCTACGAGGGACTGAGCCAGCTGCACGTGATCCCGCAGAAGACGTCGGTCAATGCCGAGTACTACGTGGAGCACATCCTCGAGGAAGTCTGCCTCCCTGCAATCAACAGGACGGCCACGACGGGCTCCGTCCTCACGCGCCGCATGGTCGAGCGCAGGTCGGACAGCATTTTCATGCAGGATGGCGCTCCAGCTCATTGGTCTGCCAGAGCGCAGAAGTGGTGTCGGGAGCACCTCCCCAACTTCTGGGCTAAGGACACGTGGCCAGGGAACAGCCCTGACCTGAATCCAATTGAAGAGCTCTGGGGGATAATGCAGTAGGAGCTGGACAAGAAAAAACCTCCCAGCAACCTTGGACAGCTCGAGAAGGCGCTCAAGAGGACGTGGGCGAACATCAGCCCACAGACTCTGAAGAACCTGGTGGCCAGCATGCCCGCACGTCTCTCACTCTGTGTCCAGCTTCGTGGAGAATACATTGACCGCTGACATGAAACTGTTGTTTTAATTTTACGGGAGGGAGGGAATGAATGGTAAGGTATCCAAACTTTTGCCGCACCCTGTATGTACTGCGCTCAGTGGCGCCTTGGAAGCATATCATCACGACAAGAGGAAAACATATCGTGTCATACAAGCTGATTAAACAGATCAATAATAACGATTGATGTTTTATGGCGCCACCCCCACACTGTGAAATGAAAGGGTCCACAGTCATTGTCCATTAGTTGGGCCGTAGCTCAGCACAATGGCATTGCCAGGCTAACGTCCGGACTCATTAGGGTGACAAACAAGACGGTTATGAGATGCCTAGATATAACACCGCCAGTCATACTACAGAGCGGGAAATTCGGCATCACACTGCATTACATAGCTGGGAAGAGTGACAGTTTAGCCACATTCTTCACAAGTTCCGAGCGCAGGGCCAATCGAGCGACAAATATTTTAAGCTGAAAGATACAACAGGAAAGTGGCGATATGTGGTGATAGCTGCACAGCAATGCAAAGTGTTATAGTCAACATGTTGAGAACAAAGAGCCCCACCTTTCCGAAATGTTGTACTTGCACACTGACATCACAGTGTGACTAAATAGTGCATCTTTTGGTTCATTTTCACTGAACCTACGTCCCAGCACATAACTGGGTATCTGCGCTCGTTGCTGTGCAGAACGGGGCCGTATTTCAGAGCAACTGCCGGCGGGCGGCGGCGGCACCGGGCCGTCTATCGATTTGCCCCCTCCCCCCCCCTCCCGCCGCGCCCAGGCAGTCATGAGCTTCGCCCTTGAGTAGGTGCGACGGCAGGCGGCAGACAGGGACACCACCATATTCTCAGTGTCGGTGTGTGTGTTGTTGTTGGGGTTTGGAGACAGCTGTTTCAGCTAATGTTAGCTAACAAGCGCTGCCTTATTCTCCGTCATATGCGGACAGTAAATTTCACCGACCGGATGGCTGGACGATGTGTTACGAGATATACAAAATGAATGGAAGGGCGGCATTAATGACTTCATATATCGTACTGGAGTTGACGGCATATCCGGACAAATCCTGCCCAAAGGAAACAGAAGATGTACAACGAAAAATGGTCAGTTCGCAAAAATAAAAAAGGAAAACAAAACCAAGGTAATTATTAGACTCTCGACACTCTTTCATTTATTTTCATTCAATGCGCGTTGTTCAGAATCCAGCCAAAAAATTAGTCGTAAAAGTACGGCTAATAGTGTTGCTGAATCACTGGTGCCGTAGCACCAAAAATTAGCATAATGTGACGCAATTCAGAATACAAAGCTTCGCGCAAATGAACCCGTAGTCGACGCACCCGTAAACCCCAATTAGCTAACTCATACGGGACATGCGAACTTTTTTAATAAAATAAAACCAAGAGAGCTAATATAGATACGGCCGTAAAAAAGTACCCACTCACCAAAGCGTTGAACAAGTAATCAACAATACACAGTCTGCGGTGACGCTCACAAATGGCAAGGCGCCACTCTCCAAATCGAGCGATCCATACGTGTGCCTAGTTCGCGAGCACCTCGCTCCCCTCCCCACCACACAATCAGTCGTGGTAGCAGCTAGAAATGTTCATTCATTCATTGAACATTCACTGTTCAGTGTTCAGTGTGTAACAAGTCAACTCACTGTTGACTCACAGTGTGTAACTCACTGCGCGACAATTGACTCGCTCTGGCTCTGCCGAGTGCATTCAATCAATCAACAGCTTGTCATGCTCGACGACCGAGACTGGGTCTGTTCTGCTGCGACCCTGCTCAATGTCGAGGATATTCTATTCACAACTCGCGCAGCCAAAACACAAGACCGTGACAGATACAGCCCACACTCATAGACAGAACGGACAGTCACAGACGGAGCACCGACCCACTAGCCGACCAGGCCGGACAGACGAACAGATAGATACATACTAGGGTTACCCGCGTGCTCCGCAACGCGAAGAAGGGTTATTTTTGACCCGTGGGTATTGGGTTGGTCTTTGTCGATTTGGTTGGTATCCATTTCGTTCGATTGCTTTTTGACGGCCAAACATTTTGTAATAAAACAAAAAAGATACATCGCATCGAGGTGCCCGTGTCGTATTATCATGCGTTCTACTTTAGAATGATTCGAAAACTGGCGTGAAGTCTTTTGAGCGCCATCGATGAATTTCGCTAAAAATGACAATGTAATGGTTTGGAACATGTACATTTTTAAGAATACTGTTGCTCATCCTGCAAAAATGAAGACAGAACCTTGGACAGAAATGAATGCTCTTTCCAACAGTGCCATTTTTAATTGCCTGAGATATCAGATTATGGAGCAAAGCCCATGTGATTAATAAAGTGACACAAAATTGACAAACACCATTTTCTCCCGTGATTTGTACCACCTTGATTTGGATCAATCAGCTTTTCACAATTTTTATATGATAGGCGGTACCTTTCTCTTGCAAATAGGCGTTGATTCAACTCGCTCCATTTAACGGTCACCTAAAAATAAAATTAATTCCAAAATCCCTCAAAAACCGCAATTTTTCAAATAAAAGTGCCCTCTCCGGTGCACGTGGCGCGTGCTATCCTCTGCATTGCACACCATTCAATAGCCCGTTCAATTCTGTACACGATGCTGTTTTTTCCGTGCCGGTCGGATCCCTGGTCACCAAGATATTGCACGGGGACTGGACCCGTGTCGGCCAAAATTAGCCGTTTTCGTCCGATTTCACACGCCAATTTATACATGTAAAGTCTATGACGCGAATTTGCACTTTTTGAGCACGCGCCACGCGCTCCCTATCAATCCGATCGAGCCCAGACCCCTCAAAGGCACGTCGCACATCCTTGATCTATAAGTTGTGCAAATTTAACCGGGCTAGGTGCAACGGTCTGGCCTGTAGTCCACGCAAAGCACGGCCAAGTCGAGACCTCGGTAACGGACAGACGCACCCTCCTCAAGAATCAAGAATCAAGGTTGTTTGGGCTCTGGAAGAAGACGTCGAGGTCTATGTTGTAGCCCATTTCTTTTTTGAATCACGCGTTTTTCTATATCAGTTTGATTTCTCTTCGGTCAGTCTTGTCTGTCTGCCCGATGTTTGTCGTATCTTGACTTAAATTGGTTAGATGTTTTTGCCATCTTGGTGTGAGAGCTTAACAAATTCCATTTATTTATAACTCTTTGTGAGAAAAATCTTCCTCTCTTCAACGTCCGGTGGTGGGGCTTGTACAGTTTGAGGTAATCTCGCTCTGTTCGGTTTCTAACGTTAAATAATTGGGTGAGGTCACACTCGTGGAGCTGATGGAGGATTTTGTGGGTCTCAAGTAAGTCTCCCCGTTCTCTTCTCTCTTCTAGGGTGGTAAGCTTAAGCTGTCTCAGCCGCTCTGGATAATTTAACCCTTGCAGTCCCACAACTCTTCTTGTAGCTGCTCTTTGAACTGTTTCAATCTTCTTGATATTATATTTCTTATATGGAGACCACACTTGGGGACAGAATTCAATGTGAGGGCGAACAAATGTTTTGTATGTGAGATTAAACATTGCCGGCCTCAGCTTTTCAAAGGTTCTCCTTACCATGCCCCAACTGGCATATGCTCGTTGGGTGCATTTGTTGATATGTTTGTTGAACTCGAGCGAGGAGTCAACAATAACACCCAGGTCTCTTTGTTCGTTGGTGTTCTCCAGCTTAGTACCACCGAGCATGTAGACTGGTCTGTCGGACATCATTTGTTTGGTGCCGATTCGAAGGGTCTGGCACTTAGAAGCATTGCAGCATAGTTTCCATTGACGAGACCAGTGCTCAATCTCTTGGAGATCCCCTTGTAAGCGCTCCACATCTTCATGTGACTTGATGTGTCGGTAGATTTTACTATCATCAGCAAAAATTTGCACCTGGCTAACTATTTGATCCGGCATGTCATTAATAAACAGAAGGAACAGTGTGGGACCGATCACTGAGCCCTGTGGGACGCCACTTGCTACCTTTGCCCAGCTTGAGTGGGCTCCGTTGACTACAACTCTCTGTTTCCTATCGTAGAGGAAGTCTTCAAGCCAGTTAAGCAGCTGACCGCCAATCCCTGATCGGTATAATTTATGACAAAGTCTTGCATGTGGTACGGTGTCAAAAGCTTTTGCAAAGTCTAGATAGACAATGTCTGTAGGTACCTTTTCATCAAGGCTGCGGCTGCAGTCTTCCAAAGTGGAGAGGAGGTTTGTTAAACACGACCTTCCGGAAACAAATCCGTGTTGGCGTGGGTTCAAAATGTTGTTCTGCAAAATATGACTCATTATTTGTTCATTGACGATTCTTTCCATCACTTTACTGCATATGCAGGTTAAACTAATTGGGCGGTAGTTTTGGGCTTCAGTTCTTGATCCCTTCTTATGGACTGCTGTGACGTATGCCATTTTCCATAGACGAGGGACATGTCCAGTGTCCATCGAGTTTTTGAAAATGATCCTCAAAGGTACTGCTACATTTTCTGCGAGTTCAGCTAGGAGACGTGGGTGAAGATCATCTGGCCCTGGTGACTTGTAGGACTTAAGCTCTTTCAGTAGCTTGATGATATGTTGAAGAGGCATTTCAACTGAATGTAATTCGGGTACATCTGGATGCCGACAGTGGGTGAAAGGACACATTTGCTCGTCTGACAGTGAGGAGAAGAATTCGTTGGCGTAAATCAAGTCAGAGTCATCTTCTAACGTGAACACATTCTTGAAGTGTTGGTTGAGGGCAGCGGCAGTTTCTTCGTGTGTTGATGATGGGGTTCCGTCTGCCTTGGTAACTTGCCCTACTGGCTCTCGAACTTTGTTTTTGGAGTTACAGTACGCATAAAACAGCTTGGGATTAGTTTTGATCTGATGAAAAAGTTTTTCTTCGTGCTTTGTTTTGATGTTACGTAGACCATAATGAGCCTTTTTTCTTGCCTTGATGTATTTCTTTCTATACCTTTCCAACTCTGGTAGCTTTAACCTCTCTGCCCTCATGTAGGCATTCCAAGCACGGTGTTTCTTTGCAATCTTCCTTTTTGCTTCATTGTTAAACCACATTTTATTATTATCTCTGCCCCTACACATCGTTTTCACAGGAACACATTCTTTCCGGATTTGCATTAGGTGTTCAACCAGTAAATCATACTGCTCATCGCTACTTTTGTTTGACAGCATGGCAGTCCAGTTAACTTGGGAAGCCATGTTCCTTGCCTTTTCATAGTCTCCCTTCATGTAGTTCCACACCGTTTTTAGAGGCTGATTATTTTTCAAACATCTGACATCAGGAATAAGTAGGTCTGCTTGTATGACGCCGTGATCGCTTTTGCCGAAGGGAGGTAATACCTCCGCGCCTTCAATGTCATCTGCTCGACTTGTTATCAGTAGGTCCAAAAGACTGGGTTGATTTGATCCCCTTGCTCTGGTAAAGTGCCTGATGTGCTGGTGTAGTCCATTTGTTTGCAATACGTTCAGCACTTCAACTGGTGTGTTGAAACCCTCATTGTTTTTATTCTTAGACGACGAGTCGTTCCACGAAATCTCAGGAAGGTTGAAATCACCACATATTAACAGGTTGTTTGTTAACGTTGAGGCTTTGGTAATCAATTCTATCAAGATTTCATCATTTCTTCGGCAGCTGTTTGGTTTTCTGTACACAATACCCAAAAGCATTCTGGTGGTTCTTGACACCTTTATCCAGACCCAACAAGATTCTTTAAATTTACTTGCATAATCGTCAAGTTCGTGACAAGTTTTCATTTCAAGCCCGTCTTTTACGAACGCCAGTATTCCACCACGTCTTTCTTCCAAATTATCCTGGCGATGAATTTGAAACCCATGTTTCCTTAACAGTGTGTTTGGCAGGTCAAGATTGCAGTTACTCTCAACAATTGCTAGTATGTCGGGCTTAAAGGATTCCAGGTACAGATGTAATTCAGGTAACTTGTTACCAATCCCATCAGCATTTGTGAAAGCAACTTTGAGTTTGAAAGATAATCTTGAGCTTTGAACATTTTTGCAACCATCAGGGTCTTTATCTAAGCTGTCACAGACCCTTTCTTGTCTTCCTTTAACGTCTTCCTTGTCTTTCTTCAAAGAGCTCCTCTCCTCTTTGGTCTTTGGGGACAACACGCCCCCGAAATATACGGTGGGTGGTCTTCCCTTTCACGTTCAGCTCTTCCCTTAATTTGCGTTGAATTTCACGTTCCTCAGGTGGGAGGTCGCGACTCATATAAATGTTCGCGAAGCCTGAGTTCTTGAGAAAGTATCTCAATTTCATCAGTCGCTCCACATCGTCTTTGCTTGTCAGCTTTACAAGAAGTAGTCTCGGTTTTGTCGTGTTGTCTGTGTGGGTTCCATCTCTTCTAACTTGACCCGCGTCATTCCTTCGGCCGAGTCTAAATACTTTGACAGTCTGGATATTTTGGTATTCCCCTAGCAAAGCATGAACTATGTTTGCAAAGCTGTCCTCGTCGTATCTCTGGCTCGCCGCTGGGTCAGCTGCCCTACTTTCCGGAATGTTGTGCAAAATAATGTTTTCTTCTCTCTTCCACTGATCTTCCTTGGTCAGGGTTTTGAGCTTGTCTGTAACTGTCTTGAGAACTTGGTCACAAGTTCCTCGAACTGTTTCAGCATACGTTTTTGCTTGCAGTGTGGGCGCTTCTGCAGGGACTGCCTGCTTGACTTCATGCTCGTGGGCTGATAATAATTTGTTGAGAGCTTTCGTGTTGCTCTCAATAGCTTGCTCCAAGTTTGCAATCTTGGTTTCGATGGCGGTGCAGTTCTGCCTCATCTTGTCCTGAGTTATCTTGCCAGTTTTACAGAAGCTGCAGACAAAGGATAGGACACTGTACTTTTGTAGTGCCTGCATAGCTGGCCCGCATATTTGTTGACAGTCTGCATGGAACAGAAAGCCGCAAGTAACACAGAGCGCACCACTGTCATCTTCTATCGGCTTCCCACAACGCTTATCAGATCCTCCTTTGCACGTTTTAATCTCTTCACCATTAGCATATTCAACTGTCTCAGGTTCGCTGCTAGGCGACTGTATGGATCCAACGATCTTTTTCTTGTTTTTCTTCGATTTTCTAGCAATGATCCATTGCTTACTGTCCATGTCATATCCTCCAATGGAGTCATCCGAGTCGTCGTCAGATAGATTGATTGTGCTTATAGCACAACCTGTTTTGACATTTGCTGCCATTTCAAAAAGTAGAGCAAGAGGCGCAGAAGTGCCTCGACTTGCTGAGTGCACGAGTGTGCAGATCAAAAATCAAGAGCAAGCTGCCCACCTCGACAAATACGAAAATATGTTCTTAAGTAAGAAAAATGCAAATTTTTGAAGAGTTAGAGCAGGCACAGCTTTCACTTTTGTGCTAAAACAAAACAATATAAATAATCTACGTTAAATTAGCAACATTTACATACACATTTTAACACTAAACTAGAATCACTTCCGCATGAAACACGGTAAATAGCGGAGCATCTTTAAACACGTCTATCCCCTTGAAAAGCCCTTGACAAAAGCCAACGCTTATCAGACTATTTGCCTATCAGACGCTTATCAGACTATCAGACTAACAGACTAAGATGATCGTTGATCCTCAGACTAACGCTTATCAGACTATCAGACTATCAGACTTATCAGACCCACGTCGGCCTCTGATGGTTCCAAACTGCCCTCAAATAGTAATATAGATAGACGCATATGTAGGTACAGGTCTCGCGGGTTTTAACAGTAGGTTTTGCACCTTGAAAATTTAGTGTACTTCAAGCTATATCTTCGTCGTCTTAAGCTTTTAAGTGTTGAAGATGCGATCGACTTGTTGGTTCATAAGCCGGCCATGATCGTGTAAAAGGGCTTCAACGTAGATCGATTAGTTTCTGAGATATAGCCAGAAATGTAAAAGTGCAAAACCTACCGCTTAATCTCGCGAGAGCCGTACATAGTCTGGCTAACTCACGTTTGTCTCCGAATCTCTGACGAGGAAGCATCCATCCTGTCCGCGGGTCGCCAGCAGCTGATCGGCCTGTGACCGGCTCACGGGACCAAAGTACCAGTCCTTTCCGGCCAGGTGCGGCCGCTCCCCGGACGCGTCTGCAGCACCCAGACGGAGCTGCGCCAGCTCAGAGCTGGGCACCGGGTCCTCAGCGCCCGACGGGCCGCCGCTCGCCGCGCCGTTACCGTTTGTTTTGCCATCTGTGGACGGGAGTCGGTTCGTTAGCTGGGGTTCCCGGGCCCATTAGTGGGGTGCCATTTGTTGTTCCGAGGTGGCGAACGGTGGCATTCATGAGTGGATAGGGAGAGGAAAGAGCATTGTCTCCGACAAGGAAATGGAAGGCGAGACGCAACAGGCGTCCGGTGGTGCTACGATAATCCCATGATGGACATGAGGCTTAGGTGTTCAGGGGCAAACAATGTGGCGAACCAACAACGGAAAACATACGGGATCTATCCGCGACAAAAGGACAGTAAACAGAGTGACCCAATAAGACTCGCATTGATGGCATCGGTTTTCATTTATATTGCCACATCTTCCTGATTGTATCCGCAATAATCTGCAACAATATACCTACAGGCAATATAAAGGCCAGCAATGATAGTGATAATAAGAACAGGCCATCAACCCGCATCCGATCCAAACACCAACACACACAACAAGGACCCTAACATTTTCGCTCGACCACCTAGTCTCACAATCCTTGAAACACTTCCGCCCACCTGTGCTCTCCAATCACCTCCCACGACCCGTACCTCCTCCCACCACTCTCCCCTGCTCCCCGCTCTCTCCGGCAGATCGTTACGGGGACCACCGGAGCACCGACTCACCACTCAGCTGCCGGCCCAGCTCTCGGACGTAGTTGCGCGGGATGAGACCGGTCGTACCCTGGCCGTTACGAGCCATCAGCCACTCGGGGTCGTTGGCCGGCCGGTCCAGCACCTGGCCAAACGGAGCGGAAACAGGGTCAGAACTCCGGAGACGGAGCGATTAAAGACGTGATTACAGACTGCAGTTAGCGATTCGCGAGGAGGGAATGAGACAGGATCAAGATTGAAGTCATGCGTAAAATGGACCTCAGGAGGCGCTAGCGCGCACCAGCTTACATTATGATAGCTACTTAACTACATTAACTAACTTGCATAACTACGCTAGATTAAGTTCCATATCCTGGATACGCCGGAACGCAACGGGAGTCCCAATGAGTCATCCCATTCCGAGCGCGACTCGGATGAGAGACCGCGATCGACTCGCCGCTGAACCGTGATATGGGACCGCCGATGGCCGTTTGGCCGACGTAGAACATCGTCGTGAAACTTGTTAGCGCTCAAAGAGCCGAATGAGGCCCGGCCATCCGACCAATTAATTGGCCGGATGTGATCATCGGCGGTCCCGAAATTCCAGCGGACCAGCCGTCCTGATAGCATGCGACGTTAGAGAGCGTCACTGAAGGGCACATCATCCTGACGTGGGCATCTGCAGGTTTACTGGGGCTTTAGAGCGCGCCGACTTCAAAGGTCATTTTGCGCATTTGACTTGAGCATCAGACAGCATTACTCCCACCACAAGCAACCAGCTACGTCGAACCAGCCCGCAGCACCCGCTCCGTCGCCACACTATCTCCTGCCGCGCCCTGGCACCACCCGGGCCCGTTTCGATCAGCGGCATCTTCACGGCGACGTTCAGGGGGCGTCTGGGGTCGCCACAAATCCGCGCCAAATGGGCACCGTCCGTCCGCCGGCCCGACGCGCCAGACGCGACCAATTCGGCCGCGCAAGGCCCCGCCACCTTACGAGATGACGCCGCGCTCATATTGAAATGGAAATCAGGCACTAACGCCGGCCAAGTGCCGCCCGGCCAGTGCCATCGCACGAGAAAGTCACCTCCTGTATTGGATAGATTTGCATTGAAGAGCACGATACAGAAGCTTAAATATCTTATCAAGTAAGGATATAAAGTGAAGTGGTCTGGGAATGACGAAATAATATGACCTAACTACTTCGCAGCTTAAATACACGGACAATCACTAAACTTCCCATCATCACCCTAAGGTAATTTTTTCCGTTCTACGTCTTCCCTAAAATGCCAGTCAGCACCATCCTATCGTGCCAGATGCTGATCTCTAAGGCATCTCGTGACTAGGTCTCCTCTAATTTCAAATTTGCCAGATCGACTACAAGCTTCTACGGTCCACTATCCACTATAAGCTTATAACTAGGCCTCCAGCATCTCCCAGCAGTCTACACAACCACCTGCATCTCACCTCCAGTCGCTCGTTTTTCTGGAAGCTGAGCTCCTGCGGCTGGGTGGCCTGGAACGTGTAGAGCGCCATCACCACGTCCAGCACGTTCTCGGCCATGGTGTAGAGGTGCAGCGTGTCATCCTGCTCCTCCTCCTGGGTGTAGTTGCTCGGGAACCAGCCCACCTGGAGAAGAGACATAGATCAGTGAGTGAGTGAGTGAGTGAGTGAGTGAGTGAGTGAGTGAGTGTGAGTGAGTGAGTGAGTGAGTGAGTGAGTGAGTGAGTGAGTGAGTGAGTGAGTGAGTGAGTGAGTGAGAGAGAGAGAGAGAGAGAGAGAGAGAGAGAGAGAGAGAGAGAGAGAGAGAGACAAATGAAGAAATTGGGAGTGACGACAGAAACAAGGAAATAAGAAACAAGAGAGGGATGGAAGAGGCAAGTAGAGATGGATGAAGGAAGGAAGAAAGAAAGAAAGAAAGAAAGAAAGAAAGAAAGAAAGAAAGAAAGAAAGAAAGAAAGAGGGAGAGAGAGAGAGAGGGAGAGGGAGAGGGAGAGGGAGAGGGAGAGGGAGAGGGAGAGGGAGAGGGGAGAGGGAGAGGGGAGAGGGAGAGGGAGAGGGAGAGGGAGAGGGAGAGGGAGAGGGAGAGGGAGAGGGAGAGGGAGAGGGAGAGGGAGAGGAGAGGGAGAGGGAGAGGGAGAGGGAGAGGGAGAGGGAGAGGGAGAGGGAGAGGGAGAGGGAGAGGGAGAGGGAGAGGGAGAGGGAGAGGGAGAGGGAGAGGGAGAGGGAGAGAGGGAGAGGGAGAGGGAGAGGGAGAGGAGAGAGAGAGAGAGAGAGAGAGAGAGAGAGAGAGAGAGAGAGAGAGAGAGAGAGAGAGAGAGAGAGAGAGAGAGAGGAGAGAGAGAGAGAGAGAGAGAGGAGAGAGAGAGAGAGAGAGCATTGATCGGTGTCGGGCACGGGGCATCGCCCTGCAGTGTCGAGCCGAAACGGTAACGTGGCACTGGCGTTACCCGTGAAACGGAACGCGCTGGATTGGAAGATTGGTGCGCGACGGACGCTGATTGGTTACTGGAATTGAAACATTGAGACCAGTGCGTCTTGGTAAAAGCGCTGTTGAATGGCTTCTGCTGACCCTTTACGAGGTTAACCCTCTGTAAATAAATAGGCAAATAGATTGTGACGATCTTTATTTTGATTTCAGGCCGACTTTAGACCAATGAACACTTCACTAAATCGAAGGAAATTGTATAGTGTCCATAAAAATGCTACAGAAAACTTGTTTTACAGACGCGCCAGCAGTAACACCATATTCACGACGAACGATATACATTTGCAACTGTACTGTATCCTGTCACATAAGGAAATACGGTCGGCAGCTAATGGCACCGTTAGTAGCAAACTACCTTACAACGCTGGTCGCGGCTCTACTCCCACAGCACCAAACTACCTCAGTTACGTACCTGGGCATTATATTGTCCCTTCCACCATCCATCGTTTGACTTTTCTAGAATGAGTACTTTAGTCCCCTTTGTAAGAGACAGCTCGTCTCGTTGTTGGGCCTGAAACACAGAACGACGAGAGTCAGTGTGAATACAAGCATCGATTCACCATACTGAGATCGGCAGGAAATGTCGTAAGACTGAACAAACACACCCACCAGCCCGACACCCAGCGATGCATGCTTCCGGCGCGCGATACACGTCTCGAATAATATACTGTGTAGCGCAGCTACAGTGGCATAATAACAAACCAGCATCAATGCAACCAATAGACGACATTGGCAGTCTGTACAGTGTTCGGCCATCCGACCATCCGACTGTGTACCTAATTGTGTCATGCGACAGGGCCATTACACGGTAATTGCCCTCTGCAGACAGCGCTAAGCAAGTTGAAGGCCCTGAGCATAGCAACAAGATCCATTATGCATGGCACCGAGCCCCGCAGCGATGGCCATTATCGATCCAGCTGGTGACAATCGCGAAAGCAATGCTTGCATGGCACAAGAAAACCCGGTGGTTTCGTACTGTAGGTATTGATTGTGCCGTCCGGACCAGCACCGGCCGCCGGCAATTTACCTGTTTTGTTCTTCCTCGCCACGAGAACTGCCTTATTATGCAACAAAAATACAGTGGAGTGACGAGAAAACCGACCAAAGCGCGAGACCGCAGCCATTGTAGTTGTATCAGCGGTCAGAACTTTCCCATTAGCGTGGCGAAAAACCACCGATAGCAAGAACCACAGGCGGGCGGAACAAAGCGCAGTTTCGCTCACGTTCGCTCACGGCTGCAGTTTGAGCGCAGGTGACCTGGCTACCTTCCGCCTACAGCGAACCCAACCTCTCTCTAACTCTGCCAAACCCAGCCCGACCGACCCTCGCCAGTGAAACTGCGCCGGGTCAGAGTTCCCGCCCCGCCGACTTCCGGTTCACACGGTCGACAGACGGGCAATCTCCCCGCCGCTGCCGGGACCGGCACCCGACTCACCTGGTAATTATACTTGACTAGGGCGACTCCCATGGCTTCTGCCGGGTCGACGAGCTGGGGCGGCGGCTGGTTGCTCGACTGTCTGTGCGGGGACGGCGTGGCCGGCTGACTGTCGCTCGTACCCGAGGGTAATGTGCGCGAGCCGCCACTCTTCTTTACACGCTTCTTGATACTGTGGGTAGATACAAAACGAAACGTTGTTGAAGAAACACAAGACACGGGCAAGGGGGAAACATATACATATAGCATCTAGCTCTCCTAAGTTATTGCAGTTTCTAACCAGCTTCAGATAACTCATTGGATTGGCCATTCATGACACATTGGCAGCACAAAAACTGCAATGTTTTCGCCACCGGCATCCTGTGATAAAGCGAGATACCGATAACGCCAGAGGACATATCCTTATCTGTCAACAGCAACATTGCCAGATATGCAACATGATAGCTGGCCTCATTCCGCGCCTGAGTGGATCTCTCGGGCGACCTTGCTGATAAGGAAGCGCTATTCGCATCCAGCTACTTCGTTTACAACGTACATCACATTCATAAATTACGTCATATCTACGACAGACATCAATAAACAAACTCAAAACGTGGCAAATTGTCTACCGTGCGCCGCCCATCGATAGCTCCATCGGTGGATCACACAACTTCAGACACTGAGCCGCGCCAGACGTGCCCCGCCCTAGGTCGAGTTCAGAGAAACGCCGGCCTGTCTGGCTCGTCTCCGGTCTGAGTGCGTGTCACAGCCGGACGCGGGGATCAGACCACGTTCACATCGTGTTGGTGTTGGCAGGAAGCGTCACGGTCTAAATTAGAACTTTTCACCAGACGGCTCGTTAGTGGTGTTAACGGCTTCGGCAGAAGGCATACAGAGCAACTCTTCACCGACCGCCGGTAAAAATAAGAGAAAGTAGAAAAAAGCTGGCTTTAAAAAAAGGCGGAGCTGGCTTTTATTGAGCTTTTGTCCGTCCGAAGGGTTGCGTGTATTTATAAAGATTTGTCTTATTTTTATCCATGACTTCACCTGTAACCGGGTTTTATCTGTACCTGTTGGTGATGAGCAAATAAACATAAACATAAAAAACGTCCAGATAACTCGTAATCAGAGTATGACAATTAGTTCTCGTACGAAGGGAATGTTGATAAATAAACAACTACGAATGAGCCTCGCCCCATTTCCCATTCGACAATCATGGCAGGTACCACGCCCCACCCATTCCTAGCGATATGCCTGAAGAAAACTGCACCGTACCACGTCATCCCAAAGACGCGTGGCAATAAATTACATGAAGTTCAAACATGAGCAGCTGAGCAAACCCAACAGCACCACATCTGTCTCTGAGAGAGAGCTCCTGATCACCGGCACCACATCAGCGCGTGACAGCCGAGTAGCGGTGCGTCCGACCGGCAGGGACAGATCACCGCCTGTCGCCGTGCAGGGGCGGGGTGGGGCGGGGCGGGCGGCCGCTCACGGCATAAACTTCCGCCACCGCCGCTGTCACAGTGCGCACGAGGGCGGCCTTGCACCATGTTGTGACAATGACACGGACTGAGCATTCCTCACTGCACCGCCGAGCGGGCGATAAGCCGCCGGGGACCTTCGCGAAACCAGAGCTCGTACGGCCGCGTTGGTGGAGAGCCCGGCCGTGGGACCGTAATGATAGAGCACGTCAGGGGCGGCGAAATGGCTTCTGCGCGATCGGATAAAGGCTCCAGCCTGATGCATATGCATCGGATATTCTGCGCCATTTCTAGGGCGATGAACCGGCACTATCTGCGCTTCAAAGGCACCAATGAATGACTTAAGGTCCCGACATCACCGTAACTTGACACATGACGACGAAAAGTTTTCCAGCTCTCGCCATGAATTCCGATGCAGTGCGTCTGGGGACACCCGGTGCCGACTGGGTTCTCGCGGTGCCGTTCCTCGCGTCTGGCTCATCCAGCGTCCCGAAACGTTAGCGGTGACCTCTTCAAGGCGGAGCTGCACACCTATGAGCCGCGAGACGATTTACGGCCACGACAGCATTCATGAACGTAACTCAGGGCGGTGGCGGGCGGCGACAGGCCAGAATTTGCGCCGGCTGTGTGAAACCCGCCGTCTCCGCCACAGAATTGCCGTCACCGAGCTCGCAGAGACACTGGCGGCCGCGGATGTAAAGGCACTCTGGTGACCAGCCACATTTCTTTCTGCCGTCAAAATCCGCTTCCACGAGACGGACTCACGTATAACTATCAAGGAAATCACATATAAGCAGCTTTGAGCAATGCAAATACCTCGGTAATACTATCCCCGGTATCACCACCCGAGTCGAGTCCAATCACTCAAAGTCCTCTCGTTCTAGTTCAAATCCCGCCAAACCCATACACACCTGACACCACCAAGCTTACCTCCATTCCTCAAAACCCAGCCCAGCCATACCGATACACTAAAACACAGCACTCACTGCCTCGTACCACCGTCTCCGCTCCCCTCTACACTCCCGTCTACACGTCTACACTCCCGTCCAGGGTTGGCATTTTTGCCGGCAAAAACTAGTTTATGCCATTTGCCGGTTTAAACCGGTTTTAACCGGCAAAAAGTGGCAACAACTGGCAAAAACTCAAAACCATTACAATGCTTTGCCTAGACATGCATTTGAATTGGAAACATTCTATGGGGGATTCAGTGAAAGTTATATGCTTTCAAAAAGAAGTGACATCTTGACCATTCGACCAGTGTTTCATACAATAAAAACATTTTCATGGGCTTCCCGCTTTCCATTAGTAACCAGTACGTCTTTTTGGGGCGACAAATGAGCCAGTGCAAGAGTGATTCCTGCACATGCAGAAGTGCGAAGGGGTGCCTGCCACTGATTTGTGCACGGCACCCATACTCACTGGTTCCTAACGGTATTAGTACCAAATTTGAGCTCAATCGACGCAGCCGTTCTCGATAACTGGAAGTGTCGTCCCACACGTGCGCTCGTAGAAAGTTGACCCCGACTGACTTATCTGCGACACCCATACTAATCTGTCTGTAACGGTGTTCCAAATTTGAGCGCAATCGGCAGAGCCATTCTTGAGATCTGGTCGAAAGCGACCCCTGCACGTGTGCACCTGCAGTAGGTAGCACCCTAACCGTGATGCATGGAAATGCCAATATTCTTCAGAAATGCATTGTCTGACGGATGTCTACCGTCCGACATGCATAGACATTGCAGCCCGGGTAGCTAATGGGGCAAACTTCAGAATGTTTAGCGACTAGCGAGTCTCTTAAAGGGACTATCCCACCTTCTAAAATGTTGTTAAAACCAGTTAAATTGTGCCCGACTTTATAGATTGGATGACCAGGAACACGGTTCTGGCATTCATTTTTCATTAAACATCTTAGGCTTCCCATATTCCAAACACAAACTTTCAAATATGTGACGTCACAGCCCAAAATTACCTCCTTCCCCAGGCCACATTACTGTCATAAAGATGATTCTTTTTACTCTGTAGGCACCACAACAAAGTTCAGACCAAGTTTTAAGCGATTTTTCAACGAACAAACACATTTAAATCAGAATGACTAAACGAGGTGACGTCACACTAACGGTCGCTCCATGTTGAAGATAGGGCCTTGCACAAGGCCCATTTTCAAATGAAGGGAACGAATTTCTTCAACACCAAGAGGCCGCGGGGGTTGCAACCTAGATAGATAGTGGTTTCTGAACCTCGCCGCAAACTTGGCTATCTCAACTCAAACCCCATGTTAAAGGTGGGATAGTCCCTTTAAACATCCAGAAATGCATTTGTACATTTCAAATCAATTGCTAACCAGAAAAGCTGCAAGTCTTGACTACCTGAGTTTTTGCCAGTTTTTGCCAGTTTTTGCCACCAGGGTTTCTGCCAGCCGGTTTAAACCGGTTAAAACCACTGGCAAAAACCAGTTTTTGCCACCCCTTGCCAACCCTGCTCCCGTCCGACTCACCTGTCAAAGATGGAGGGTTTCTCCTTTTTGACGTAGTTGCTGGGCACATAGCCGCACTGCTGGCGCCCGTTCATAACACGCCACCAGTGTTTTGAGTCATCCAGCAGCAGCAGGCGCTCCTGCTTCCGCAGACTGAGCTCGTGCGTGCCCTGCGCCTCGTAGTCATACTTTGCCGTCACCCAGCACTCTTCAGCACCCATCCTTTGGCCTGGAGGGAGGCGGTGGTGAGTGTCACGGCTTGGGGAAGTGGGGTGCTGGTGAGGGGAGGTCGCAGCCAGAGGCTCGCGGGTGTTTCCGACCGGCTGTGTTCATTTTTGAAAACCTTCATAACCACATATCGCTTCTCTAAATTGGCTCAATGGCTCATATCATTCTCACTAATGATATGAGCCATTAAAAAGTGTGTAGCCATGAACTCACTGTTAGCTTTCAATTTGAATATGATGTTTGAATAAACCTCCAGCTTGCAAGGACTACAGCTTTATTACATTACCCGTGGTTGTGTCTTGCTCAGTTGTCATGGATAATTATGATTCCATCTAATCCTCCTAAAAAAAACTAATGGCTTAGAATGAGGCTGGGACAGGTAAGATTACTTGATTACAAGTGAGGAGAGGCTAGGCTAAGTAATGTACCTACACTTAATCTTTGTCTGGATAAATATTTATCCCAGAATCCCAACACTAAATTTATATCGAATAAGATGCAAAGCAAAATACAGGAGATAAAGAACAATATAAAAAGAACCCAAGATGGCCCATAAGAAAAAACAATTGCATTATACCATCAACAAAAAAAAACACTTTGCTTTTATGTCCAGGCTTAGTAACAATAGGTTACAAATACAAAAATAAGGCCCATGAGCGTAGGAACCTCAAGAAAAGTGAGCGTGTGGAGGGGGGGGGGCAGCAAAACTTCAAAGTCACTTTGTGGGAGCTCAATACCCCTGTAAAGAAATTATTTGCAGTTGTGTGCTCATTTTTCCTTGCTGAGCCATTTCCTGCTGTTAGTTTTGTATTTAAATCGGAAATAAAAATTTTACTTTAAAAATGACTGAAAAGTGGGGTGCCATGCCCCCCCCCCTCCCCCCCACCCTGCCCCGCTGTTCCTATGCCTATGATCAGGCTGGTCCATGCACATATGCACATTACATAAGTATTAGCTAAATCAAGTTTCCAAATTGGTTGGCTGACAAACTTGATTGAGGAAAGTAGGAAGGTAAGAGCCAAAACATAATTTGTTCCATAGAAGTAACAATTGCCTGTCACTTTTTCAGAGGCTTGAAGCACTCTTTTTCATATTTTTATATTATTTACCTTATGATAAAAGACAAAAAAGCAGTGTTTTAGCCTGTAACATCTGCTGCCATCTGCTATCCTAACCCTGAAATCAACTACATTCAACCAACAAACAGATTTACACTTATCAAAACATTTAGCTGCACAAACCCAATAGAAATACTTCGAAGGAAATCATTTTAATTTAGATTTTACTAAAGAACCACTGCAAAATAATGTAATGTTGATAATAGTTACAGAAATGGGAATAACTGGTGATATGTGAAATGAACAACTGCAGCAACAAATATCTGAAACCAGTCTTATATTCATGTGTGAATGTAAGGAACTGTGGGGGTGTTCAGACCCAGCAAATCCACCACCCCAGCTGCTGCCAACATGGGTCATTTTACCCTCTGCAATATGTTGTGGCCCCAAAGCCAGTCTGGATTCGGGGACACTGGGGCAGCAGATTAGTAGTGGGCTCACACCCACAGTTACTTACTATAAGGTATCTACTTTTGGTTAGATTTAGATCCAATGCTTCAAGCTCAAGGTCAGTACAGGAACATGAGGCCTACATTTTGGCATTAATAGAGCAGACATGACATGAAGATTTTCTAACAAAGGAGAGGCACTGTGGGTTTGTAGGTTTTAGGCAAGGTTTAAGGTTTGTATGTTGTAGAATGTAGGTCAGATTAGGTTAGGTTAGGTTCATTTTAGTTTGGTTTGCTAGAAAGAAGCATCTCCGGGCATAGCACCTTTCCTTGGTTGGAAAACCTTCGTGTGACGTCTGCTCTACTAATACCCATACACACTTTTACAGGCAGGAAGGTGTAAGCTTGATAAAACCAGTCAAAGCCAGGTGCAGGGCTGTATGATATAAGAAAAACATGCAAGAAAAAAAGATACCCTACACATCACCAAGTCCTTCAACAAATCCTAACATTTAAAATGGTTTATAATTGGAAGCATTTTAAGGAAAATGGAAGAAAATACATAAAAGTAACTGAATTTGTTAATTGAAGTGAATTGCAAATGCAGATTATAAAGCAGATAGCTGATGAAGAAAAGCGAGTTCAGTTGGGGAAACTACGAGGCGAAAGTCAAAAAATTGATTGGTCAATAAATGGACTTTTAATGACCATATATGGGCATAAATGCAGCCCCCGCTACTAAGGGTAAAAAACGGTATAACAAGCCGGTACTTGCGGTATCGCGTCCACTTATCGGAGAGAAAAGGCTTCCATTCTCCACTAGGAATTAGCGTGATTTGATTAAATTCGGCGAATTGACTCGAAAATGGCGATAGGAAAACAGCTTTTCTGCAGGTTCTGGGCGTCACAATCAGCTGGCCATTCAATAAATGGATTGGTTTTTTGAAAGAAAATTGTTAATAGATTTAATTTAATTACAATAAACAAAGATATTTAATTGTAAAATAATAACATAACCACAATTAGAAAAACCATAAACAAAATAATAAAGATAATTACATTTTTAAACCACGGTACTGCTTACATTTTTTGGCGCGTCTGTTTCAATCCGCCATATTTGCCCATCACTGATTGACCTTGTGTTGTAACTCTGCGATTTAGAGCCGCCAGTTAATTGTGCACCGAGTGAGTGTGGGCCTTGTGTGGTTAAAAAACATTCTTATGCATTATTTTTTCATTTGAATGCTAGGATGCATTGAAAAGATGAAGTTGTCTGATTTAATGACCATATATGGTCATCGCCCCGCCCACTCCAGCCGTTGATTGGCTAATCCATTTTTTGTTTGGCTCCTCGTAGTTTCCCCAACTGAGTTACATCAACATGCAGCCACGAAGACCATAGTCACAGTATGGCTTACCGTGTTTAAGACTTGACATTGACACACTTCCCTTACAAGATCAAACCGGTTACTGATATTGTCTTTGGTAATATGGAAAAAAACCTAACTTTTCTGTAAGTTAATGACTACCTAAATCACAAAGCGTTGAGGTGTGCAGAAGCTAGTGCACCAAGCACTTGAAGAAAGTGCAAACTATGAACCGTCTGCTGCATCCAGAGTCATCTTGAAACGATGTAACTTGCACCCAAGGCTTGCAGATGTAAATGTTCTACAAGACACAGCACTTCTGTGAAAATCAAAGCATAAATAAATAATATTCCCAGCACAACACACAAATGGGCGCGACCCCACACAGCTTCAGCAATCAACAAACTGAGAACATTTTTGTAGACAAATATGACGCGATAATGACAAAATCAGGAATTTGAAAGCCGTCACTAAATTGTACTTTCTGTCCTCAGGTGTTTTGTAATTACTAACTCCGGTGTCCATTGCTAAAAATATGCATAAACTCGTCTGCTCATTGATGTAATTCACGTTGGTGTGTGGCTTAACCGATTAGAGGCCTAATCAGCAAGTAACTTAACCCTCGCCCGTATTGGTGTTTTTCCAGCCGCGAACGTATAAGGGGGGGTCCGTTGGACCCCCCCCATTCCGTTTCGCCCCTGATCGAGCTAGAGCTTCGCGGAAAAAACGAGCGTGTTGCCCGTGACGAGAGGAAGCCGATGATACCTAATTTTAAGATCCTAGGTCATTGGTTGACCTTGCAGGTCAGGTCAATGACCCAAAAATCGGGAAAATCGGGACCTGTTAGAACGTCGTAAAGTGTGGCTGCTATGGGGTTTTTCAGGGCGCTGATCACGAATATCATGTTAGTTTTGATCACAGATGATGTCTTTATGAATTTAGTCCAGGTCGGGTCAGGTCAGGTCAGGTCAACCAGTAGGGGTCCTGCCGGGTATTCCTAGTAGGTGTCAACCGCCTCTGACAGCTTCGTAACATGTTACGAAGGTACAAAACTACTTCGTAAACGTTCATATGGTTGCTAAATTCGAATTCAGCTCCAAAAACTGGCCTAGAAACATGTAAAACTCGAAAAAGTGAACCGAGGTCACCAAAGGTCAATGACCTGACCTGACCTTCAGGTGACCTTGACACCCACCCTAATGCATGGGGGCAACATCATATCACATGTTTGAACGCTTGAAACCAAGAAAAGTCTGCAAACGCGCGGCTAATGCGAGCCGACATACGCCGAATCGCGATTCCGGCCAAACATGGTCTCGAAAAGTAGGTCACAGGTCAAAGGTCATTGGGGTCAGGGTCATGAAATTTTCAGGGTAGGTGTAAAATTGATTAACGCGAGGGTACTGAAAGTTTCGTCGCGATCGGCCGCTTTTTACGCGAGTTATTCGCGAAAAACCATGGGGGGGGGTCCGTTCGACCCCCCCCTATACGGGCGAGGGTTAAACCCTCGCCCGCACAGGCCAGTTTGAGTCCTTCCATAGGCAGGGGCCCGGGAACGATTTTCAAGTTGGGGGGGCGAGCCCAAAATACCTGACATGATGCATATGAAAAAGATCTCCATAAGGGCCCCACGCCGGCTTCTGAGGGCCGCTTGCGGCTTTTACGGGCACCTCGGTGGTCTCCAAAGGCCTGTTACTGGCCTCTGAGAGGTCTTTCCGGCCTATGAGGGACCAGTTATAGGGGCATTTTCCGCCTGTGATGGTCTCACACTTATTTTTCTGAGGGCCCCATAACGGCAACTGTGGTCTGTAGGGCCCTCGTCGGCGCCATTGAGGGCCCACACCGGTGTCTCTGAGGGTTTCACACCCCCAACTCTGAGTGCCTACACCAGTGCCTATTATAGCCCTATATCGGCAGCTCTGAGGACCCAACCAACACCTGCGCATCTAAAGGCCACCCACTGGTGACTTTTGAGGACCCCACACCGGTAACTCTGAGGGCCCTACCGGCGTCTGACAGTACCATGTCGGTCTCTAAGGACCCCACAGAACTTCTTCTGTCGGCCTAAGGACCCCTTGCCGGTCACTGAGAACCCCTGCCGGCTTGTAGAGAGTTCGCGTCAGCAGCTCTAAAGGCCCCACGGCCCACACCCGTCTGTAACGGCTCCACACCAGCGTCTATGAGGGCCCACAACAACGCCTGTAAGGACCCTCATCGGCGCCTCTGAGAGAATCACACTAGCTCCTTTGAGCGCCCACACCGGCACCTGCATGGCGGCCCCACACCGGCGCCTCTAAAGGCCCCTTACCGGCTGCTCTGAGGGCCCTACGCCGGTGATTCTGAGGGTGCTACCGATAACCGAAGGCACCACACATTACACAAGCGCTTAGTGTCGCTGAGCTTTAATCCCATACCGGCCCTCCGAGGGCGCCACGTCAGTGCACTCATTGCCCCACACCCCTCCCTCACACCCAGAGCGGGTTAACTGTGTTATACCTGTCAGGGGCGGATCCAGGAAAACTCCAAGGGGAGGGTCATGAATCGAAGTGGTGCCCCCACCTATACCCAAAATTAAAAACTCATCGGATTTCGGCCACTTCATTTTGGTGGTGCCCTATTTTCAGTTTTTTTTGTTTTGTTTTTTTTTTATATTATTTATTTTGTGTGTGTTGCCCCTGGCGGGCCTGTGGTGCCCCTGCTAGGCCGTAGGTGCCCCTGAAAGGTTTGTGGTGCCCCTGGAAGGACTGTGGTGTCCCTGACAGGCTTGTGGTGCCTCTGGAAGGACTATGGTGCCCCTGGGCCCTAACAAGCCTGAGGTGCCCCTGACAGGCCCGTGGTGCCCTTGCTAGGCCTGTGGTGCCCCTGGCAGGCTTGTGGTGCCCCTGACAGGCTCAAGGTGCCCCTGCGAGGCCGGTGGTGCCCCTGACAGGCCTGTGGTGCCCCTGCAAGGCCTCTGGTGTCCCTGACAGGCCTGTGGTGCCCCTGGAAAGACTGGTGCCCCTGGGCCCTGACAAGCCTGAGGTGCCCCTGCCAGGCCCGTGGTGCCCCCGACAGGTCCGTGGTACCCTTGCTAGGGCTGTGGTGCCCCTGCTAGGCCACTGCTGCCCCTGGGCCCTGACAGGATTTGGTGCCCCTGGAAAGACTGGTGCCCCTGGGCCCCGACAGACCCGTGGTGCCCTTGCTAGGCCTGTGGTGCCCCTGGCGGGCCTGTGGTGCCCCTGGCGGGCCTGTGGTGCCCCTGCTAGGCCACTGCTGCCCCTGGGCCCTGACAGGATTGTGGTGCCCCTGACAAGCCTGAAGTGCCCCCACAGGCCCTTCGTGCCCCTGACAGGCCCAAGGTGCCCCTGCGAGATCGGTGGTGCCCCTGGCAGGCCTGTGAAAGACTGTGGTGCCCCTGGGTCCTGACAAGCCTGAGGTGTCCCTGCCAGGCATTTGGTGCCCCCGACAGGCCCGTGGTGCCCTTGCTAGGCCTGTGGTGCCCCTGCTAAGCCACTGCTGCCCCTGGGCCCTGACAGGACTGTGGTGCCCCTGGCAAGCCTGAAGTGCACCCACAGGCCCGTGGTGCCCCTGACAGGCCCAAGGTGCCCCTGCGAGGCCGGTGGTGCCCCTGGCAGGTCTGTGGTGGCTCTGGCAGACCTGTGGTGCCCCTGACAGGTCCGTGGTGCCCCTGCTAGGCCTGTGGTGCCCCTGGCGGGCCTGTGGTGCCCCTGGCGGGCCTGTGGTGCCCCTGGCGGGCCTGTGGTGCCCCCGAGCCCCAAGGAGGGGGTCATGACCCATGTGACCCCCCCCCCCTTGGATCCGCCACTGATACCTGTAGCAACGCTTTTACCACCGTTGTACGTTATGTATTTCTCAAAGTTGACTCAAAATGGTCCAGTATATAATCTGGCCTGCCAAACTATGGCCAAGGTCAGGCCGAAATCAAAGCGGGATGACAATAGCAGATGTTGTCAAATCGATACTGTATCAGCAGAAACCATTCAGATGGCAAGGAAAATGCCGTGTGTGGATGTTTAGATGTATAAAGGAAACAAGCAGGAAAGAAGTCCGGAAAAGGGAGGAAAGATCTTTTCTCGCTGCCTCAATGTTGAGGGGGCGCCGCCCCCTCGGCTCCCAAGTTGGGGGGGCAAGCGCCCCCGCTGCCCCCCCTGTTCCCGGGTCTATGTCCATAGGCGGTCCCAGGGGGGGGGGGCACGGGGGCCATGGCCCTCCCTTTGGTGCTAAAAGGTGGGGCCATACTATCTTTTGGCCCCACCTTTCAGATCGAACAAAAGTCCTAGAAAAGCTTTTTGTATGTTTCATTTTTTCTCTTGCGCCATCAAAGAACGTAATTTTCACTCATGAGTGGCCTCAGTTTCGCATTCTGTCAATTAGGCGGTCAGCGTCGCTGGCACCGGTTCACGAGTATGGCCGGATCTTATATGGAATATCAGCGTGGGTTTACTTGAGGCTCTCGCAGGCCCAGCAATGGCTTGCATGAGACCCTCTTCGCCAGTGGCGGGTGGGCCCTGCCAAATGAGCGTGGCTCTACGACACATAAGACCTCATGGGTTGGTGCTGTGGCTGTGCACCTCAGATGCCCGGTGGTGACGCCGTATGCCGGCTTGGTTTCTTAAGGATTAGCGTGGGACCTCCGGGGCCTGCATAGAGTTTGCATGAGCTTGTATTTAATCTCAGAGGCCTGTATGTAATGTGTACACAGTGGCGGTCGCTGGGGGGGGGGGGCATCAGGGCCATGCCCCTCCCCAAGGCACATAAAGGGGGCCGTCATATCATTTGCCCCCCCCCCCCCTCAAGCAACCGATGGGCCCCCATAGGTGTATGGGGTCCTGGCCCTGATTCGATCGTCACGAGGCTAAAAAAAAAAAAACACGCCCAGCTATTAATATAGCTCCCACACCGGTCTTTGAGCGTCCTACACTGACCTCTGATGGAACTTCAGTGGCGGTCAAGCGCCCACGTTGACCGCTAAGAGCCCACATCGACCTCTGAGGCCCCACATCTGGCATATGACGGCCCCTAACCGGCCTCAGGGGCCCCAACCGGCGTCTGAGGGTCTCACACCGGTCTCTAATGGCCTTGTTGCTGTCTCTGGTGTCCCAAGACGAACATTTAGGTGCCAATGAGGACCCCGCACTGGCTGCTGAAGACCCGATGCCGACCTCTAAGGGCCTGTATTGGTCTCTGAGGAGGGCCCATCTTGGCCTTTGAGGGCCCTCTGCTGGCCTCTGGGGTCCAACGACGGCTCATGCCGGTCTCTTAGGGCCCCACGCTGACCTCTGAGGGCCCCATGTTGGCCTGTAATGAGTAAGGACCCACATTAGCCTCTGAGAGCCCAACTCGGTCTCTGATGGTCTCAAACTACTGGCCTTTGCAGTCTGCAGGCCCTGTACTGGTCTCTGAGGGCCCTAAACTGGCCTCT